CAGTTACCCATATTACTCTCTGGTTCCCTATCACATCAAGTTCTGTTTTCTCATATTTGATCTTGGTCCATATACCCTTCTTCATGCTAATTATATTTCCTATAAAGAGCCTCTTGGTGGACTCTACCTCGATCCACTCTGCCTGCAATTCTCTCTTTGTTCCCTTAAGTTAGTGTATCTAGGCCATCTATATTAGAAATTATATACAACTTTCTCTACCTCATTTTGGTTGTACTCTTTTTCCGTCATTAGTTGTGTATTTGTCTTTTTCATTTCACTTTTTGTTCTATTCATTGGGGCCTCTCTGCCACTGTTCCTGAAATCCTGGTGCTTTTCTCTCTCTTTAGAATGTCCTGTAGTATTCTCTGTAGAGTTGGATTGGTGATTGTGAATTCCCCCAGTTCCTCTTTATCTTGGAAGCATCTTATTTCTCCATTAATTTGTAGAGACAATTGTGCAGAATACGTCAATCTGGGCTGGAGGTTATTTTCTTTCAAAGCTTGGATTATTTTGCCCCATGCTCTTCTAGATTTGATGGTGTGTGTTGAGAAGTCTGCCGTAATTTTGATGGGTTTTCCCTTGAAAGTGATCTGTTTCTTGTCTCTGACAGCTTTTAATATTCTATTCTTATATTGAATTTCTGGAATCGTGATTATTATATGCCTGGGTGTAGTTCTGTTTTGGTTTTAGGTGGCTGGAGTTCTGTATGCCTCATACATCTGAGTGTCTTTTACTTTTCCTATGTTTGAGAAGTTTTCCTTAATTATTTCTGTGAAGAGCCTTTGCAGTTCCTTTGTTTGTACCCCTGCTTCTTCATTCACATTCTTTATTCTTAAGTTATAGATCCTCTTGTCATCTTCTAGCTTTTGTATTGTTACTGCTTGTTTCCTTGTTATTTTTAAGAAATTTTTCCTTTCATGTTCCCACATTGCAAACCTGTCCTCCATTTCGCATAATCTATCCTTAGTTTCTTTCAAGCAGTTTTGCCAGCTTTCAATGAAGTTTTTAATTTCCTGGTAATCTCTTTGAACCTACTTCATGTATTCTATGTTTTTTCTATTTTCTCCATTCTCCTCTTTTTTTTTTGTTCTTCCATTCTTCTATCTGTTTTTTCTTGGGAGGTGCTTAGCATTTCTTTAATTATTCTATTTATATCTTGCTTTACTTGGTTAAATACTTCACTTTTGAACTCATCTGTGAAGTCCCGAAGATATTGTTTTGTGTCTATTGGTGCCATGCCTAATACTGCCTGTTTGCTTTCCTCATTCTCCTTTGCATTTACCTTTCCTGGATTAGTGCTCTCAGAATTGGGGACTGAGGACCCTTTCTTGTTGCCTCCTCTTCTCATATTTTTTGTTTTTTCCATATAGGTATATATAGGAGGCCCAGTTTCTTTCTTTGTTGGTTTCAGTTTGTCTGAAGCATGCTGACTAGGTGGTCCCGCCCACTGCAGTGTACTAGGAGGTACAGACCTGGGCAACCTATGCTGGGCCCGCTCTTCCAGGTCAGTCAACCTGCTGAAGGCTTCACTGCATTAGGGTGCACTGTCAGGTGTATGGACTTGGTTTGAGCTAGCCTACTGGGTCTCAGTCCATGGCGTCACCCAGGTCAAGTGCTCTCCACCAATCCCGCTTGAGAGGGGAATGTCTGACTGAAGTCACTGCAGCACCTTGTTCTGGCCAGTCTGCCCAGTCCCAGAATGTTGTCTGTTGGAGCTCCCCCTCACTCACTACAGCTTGATGCAGAGTTCCCTGCCAGCTCTGCTCTCAATTCAGTTTAACGATTCCTGCTCTCAGTGTGTTTGCATCTCCAATGAGTTGAAACTAGCGGGCTATCCTAGCTGCTCCAATTTAGGCAGGGTAGTGGCAGGGTATTCAAGCTGTGAGTTCAAGTGGCAGCACCGAGACTGTAACTGTTCCAATTGTAGCACTGGGCCTGTATTTTTAACTGGTTTCTTTCAGCTTAGTTTGTTCCTGGGTCAGCAGGGTGTATCTCCTTCTGTTTGGGACTCCCCACACTGTATTATTTTTGGAATCTAAGTTAACTATCTCATAGAGCCTCTGTAGCTGCTGTTATCTATCTGCCATCTTTTTCTCTCCTTGATACAGATTTTTTCTGATCATGGCTAATTGGAGTTCTGTCTGCCTCATTTATCTTATGTGAAATTCTTTTTCTCAACCTGGGAAGTTTTCTCCCACTACTTCTGTGAATGAGTTTTTCATGTCCCCTATGGTGTCTCCTGATTGTTCATTGATTTGTGTCAGCTTTATATTATTCTCTTTTGAATGATCTGGTGAGTGTTGGATTGATTTTTTGTGAAAAACTTTAAGAAGTTTTTCATTTGATGATTGCTTACTGCAAACCTGTCTTTGAGGTTTCATAGTCTGTCTTTACATTGGTTGATTCTGCTGCATATACTTTCGATAGAAGATTTAATCCCCTGGATATCTGTTTGAATATGTTTTATGGAATCCACACCTTTTTCATATTGGGCATTCATGGTTTCTGTCATTTTCTTAAGCTCTTTTTTTTTAAATGTATATCTACTCTAGATTCACTAATTATGTCCTTCATAGTGGTCATGTCTTTAGTTAACTGAGAAATTATTTCTGAGTTGTTCTTTTTCTCTAAGGCCTCATTGTTACTTCGTCTGCAGCTATTTTAGAAAGTTCTGGTGGGTGACTTCAGGCTTCTTCCACTTCACTGTTCCCTTCCCTTCACTGTGCACCACTGTGCCATGGTCAAGCTGGAAGTCTGAGGTTTTGTCTTGCTTCTACGTCTTATTGTTTTATTTTTAAATTTATTTTCTGCATTGATGATTGTAAATTGCTAATGGTAGCCTTATCACTATTACTGAGACCTCCTTAGGAAATAAAATAACTGCCTTTTAGAGATGTCTTCTAGGAATTGGTGGGTTTTGGCTTTTGATTCTTTCCCAAGATCCTCCTCAATTTATTAGGGATGAGAGCTTTCTGCCTACTTGTTTCAACACCTAGTTGTTTCACAATTGACTTTGGCATTTTTATGGCATTTTTTCTGAAAATCTTAGTATTGGCATACAAGGAACAGCAACTGGTCACAGCTGTGACACTTTGGCTAATGTAATACAGTGAGCAATGACAATAGCATCGAACACTGCCTGGAAAGTGGTAAATGGTCCTATTAAGTTTGCACCTTTATCCATAGGAATAAGATTCATAGTTATATAAGGACTTCCGTGGGGCGATTTTAAGAAAACTTAAAGGGGACAAAAGGAAAAAATACAGAATCAAATGCAAAGAAAGAGATTAGAAGCCAGCCTGAAGGACCAAAGGAGATTATTCAGGCTTTGGGGAACTGGTGAACAAGACAGGAAAGAAAGAAGGAAGGAAAAAACAAAACAAAAACAAAGCAAACTGAAACAAAAACAATGGTTACACTTATGAAGAAACTCAGACAATTGAGAAAACAAAATCCAAAAAAAAAAAAAAGAAAGAAAGAAAACTAAACAAAAGTACAAAGAAATAAACCTCCCCACTCCCCACATAAAAATACCCCAATGTTTCTGTGACTTCAAACCCATGGTTACTTCTGGTGTCTACAGTTTTGTGCTAGTGTCTAAGTGAGAGCCCAGAACTATGCTGGGGGACCTCAGTAAGTCTGCAGCAAGCTAGCAGTAGGGTTGTTGTGGCAGGCAACCTTTTAAAACACTCAGCTTTTAATGTCTCAGGTGTTCAGTATGATTCTGGTATCTTACTGTGGATCCTGGGCCCTAAGTCCTCAACCACAACACGCTGGGCCTCCCTTGGTGGCCTGTACACATCTCTTCATCCTGGATGTCTCCTGTAGCCCTTATTCATGCAGTTGCTGTGGGATTTAAACACTGGGAGCTCTGAAATGAGAACAACCCATGACTGCTCTGAGTCTGGGTTCAGTTGACTCTTCCCTAAAAAAAAATGACTGACCAAGAATTCTAAACAGAGAAAACTGCTGTCACCTGGACTGGAGTCCAGCAGCTTTTAATCTTTCTCAGCAGGTTCTAATTTTTCTTTGAGATTCTTCCTGGATCCCTCTCTCCTTTTTTTCATCCCCAATTTGTTATTCTTCAGCATCTTGGATTTCAAATATTGGAGAGTTTGAGCTGTGGTTAGTATTTTCCCTCCCCTCTCCTCCCTCCCTTTCCTCTCTCCCTTTCTGTTCCAGTGAATTAAACTCAGGGTCACTCTTATCACTGAGCTATATCCTAGCCCTTATTTTGTGTTTTGAGACTAGTTCTCACCAAGTCACTAAGTTGCTCAGCATGTTAGGATTCAATTTATGACCTTCTTGCCTAAGCTTCCAGAGTGCTGGGATTACAGGCATCTACCATCATGCAGAGTCCTTGCTTATGATGGTTCAACTTAAGATGTTTGGGTTTTATGATGATGTGAAAGTTAGAAAGATTGAGTAGAAACTATATTTCAAGTTTCCAGTTTTGATTTTTCCCTGGACAAACGGTATGTGATGCTTTTTCAAAATGCTGGGAGGCAGCAGGAGCCAGTGGCCTGGGATGCAGCCCATGTTCTACAGGCCACTCAGGCCTCAAATGGGAGAAAAAAGGTGGGTTAGTTAGGACTCAGCACCCTATGGGAGAGCACCTGGGGGGTCCCCAAGGAGGGAGTAATCATTCCAGAGATGTCATTGCTATCAGCTTCTGAGTTGAGAACCTTGATTGTGAACTGTAACTGAGAGTAAACACCACAGCTGTGTTTTAAAATATATTTTAAATTTTAACCCTCATAAAATACTTAATGCAAAGTTCCAAATTTCTTTCATTGTAAAGATTGCAAATGGGTTGATTTCAGTACTCCTTATAGTAATGCTGAACCATGAAACTTTTTCACTGATTGACAAAGCAGAAATAGCACTGTAGATGGGTCCTCATGAGTATGTACACGTGGGGACCCACGGATGTCTGTCTGGGGTGGTGCTGCTTCATGTGGTGTTGGTGGCATCACAGTAACCTCCAGTCTGCTTCTCAGGGCAGGGATGTGCTTCCTCGGCCTGTGCAGGCAGCACGATTCTACTACTTGGACACCTTCATCCTGCTGTCTTGTGGTCCAGAACTGTGGCTGCTGAAGTATCATCTTGATACCTGCAAAGATGAGCTGAAAAGGTAGGGGGCCACCTGATGCTTTCTCTTCCCATAATTTCAATATTGGTTAATCATGTTATTTGTTGTTCAGGATCAACCTTGTGTTCCTATGAGACATGAGCTGTGAACTGAGGAGCCTGGTTTCTATGTATGTTAATTCTTCTGATTTACCATTGGTGTGGTGTGACCTGTGGAAAAATCTGTGGGATTCAAGGACTCTGAATTGTTACATATGTGTCTCTATCTATCTGTCTGTCTGTCTGTCTGTCTATCTATCTATCTATATGTCTCCTACACCAAACTTAGAGAAATAGCCACCTTTTGCTATCTTTATTTGCAAGATTTTTAAAGAAATAAAGTATTCAGATCCCTCTGGGAATCAGAGATCCCAACCTTTTGAAACTGTTGTATCTGCCTCCCTTTCTGGATCTTGTGAGCCTGCTTCATTTCCTCTGTTTAGGCAGTGGAGAACTCTTAGTAACCAGCGTTGGGTTGCTCAGATGCCCATAGGTATTTTGAACAAGGGTTTCCCAGACACCTCTCCTCTCACTGATGAATGTGGTGCTGTTTGGGTCTTCCCTACTGGGGGTGTGTAGGGCAAGCTCCGAGCCCTCTCTGATATGGCAGGTGAGGTGTGTTAGTTACTCATTGCTGGGAGAAAATACCTAGTCCACAAGTTAAGGGAGGCAAGGTTTATTTTAGTTTATGATTTTCAGAGATGTCAGTCTGTCAGTCCATAGTTGAAGTTGTCTAGTTCCAGTGCAGGGTGGCATGGCAGGGGTTATTGCAGAGGAGAAACAATTCATGATGCGGCAGGCAGGAGGCAGGAAGCAGCGACCCTCCATTTCCCTTCTTGTTTCATTCAGGTTGTTACAAACCAATTGGTTGGTGCCATCCACATCTAGGGTGTGCCTTCCCATCACTCAGACCAGAGCAACACTAAACCAATCAATGGATCACTCCAGTTGTCCTGCACCTGTAATTCAGTATTACACATCCATGATCTGGCCACCTCCCAGAATCCCTACCTGTAACCACCAGCTAGGCATCTAGATACAACCTGTAGCACAGGTTTAGGCCTGTTCCAGCAGATTGGCCATCCTGTCTGGCAGGTAGCTCCCTTTGCTTTCTCAGAGCATATATCCTGTCTTTTTTTCCTTTGACCAAAAACCACAGATAGGCTTGCCTTCACACAAGGAAGATCTGTAGAGAGAAAACCCTGGCTTTGTCCTGCCATTTGTCAGACCGTGATTTTAAGGTGGGTGCCATCTTCATATTTCTACTCAGTCCAATTGGAGGGGGCACCTTTAGACCTAGGGGAACTCCGGGTTAATGTACGGGGCTGAAGGTTTTGCTGAAGGAGGGTGGACCGTGCTGATCTGGGAATCTTGGTAAAGCACAGTGGTGCATGGTCCGGCTGCCTGTGGCCAAGATGCCTGCATCACCATCTCTAGAGCACTTGCTGCTAGAGGACTCCAAATTCTCTGCAGTTGGGAATGCAGGCCAAGTGAACTCATATCTCAGATGCCTAGCTTGGTATCTTCTTGGCATACAAGCAACCAATTCAGTGAAGAGTGGTTATTAGGTTACCAGTTTTCTGCCCTCTGGTTTCAACTCATATAGGCTTTCCTGGCATCACTTCTCAAGAACTGTGTGTATTTTCAGCTGCAAAAGGCAGAACTCCACAGACACTTTCGTAGGCTGGCATCAGAGATAGCTCTTGTGCAGTTGCTTCCTGGTATGCTGTCACAAGATATATCTGAAACAGACAGTGACTTCTCTGGAGGTTGCCACTTACTCCTGATGAAACAAGGTGTTATTTATAAGTGTATAGTAAGGACGATGTGCCTGGACTCCCTACACTAATGGCATTTCTCAGAGCCTAACTTGGAGGATGCACAATCCCCTCTAGGAAGATGGTGCTGTAGCCTTACCCCGTTGCTGCCTCTGCATCATTCATCCATTCCATCCACACTTCTGATCCGTCATCCCCTTTCATCCCATCCATCCATACACCCATCCATCCCATCTTACCTCATCTTGTCTGTCCCATCAATCCATCCTATATATCCCGTTTTCTATCCCATTTGTCTCATCCATCTGCCCATCACATATTGTCCCATCTCATCCATCCCATCTGTCCATTCCATCTGTTAATTCCATCAGTCCACCCCAATCTGTCCTTCCAGTATCATACACTGTTAGTCCATCCAATCTCATCACATCCATCTCACTCACTCATCTCATCTTATCTCACCTATGCATCCTATCTCATCCATTCACCCATCTATCCTGTCATCCATCTATCTCTTATCCACTCTATCCATCATCCCATCTTATTTTGCCCATTCCCTATATCTATCCAGCCATCCTATTCATCCAGCTTATCTGTTCTATTCATCATCCATCCCATATATCCTAGCCATCCACCCCATCTATCCCACATATCTACTGCATTCATCCACCCATCCACCCTTACCTTTCATCTCACTGTCTTACATCCATCCCATTTTATCCCATCTCATGTATCCTATCTCATTCATTCTACCCATCCCATCCTGTCCCATGTCATCCATTGATTCATTCACTCATCCCACCAATCTCATCCATCTATCACATTAAATCATCTCATTCATCCTATCCATCCAACCTACCCATCCCATCCCATCCACCCATCTCATCCATCTATTTCACCCACCCCATCTCACCTCATTCACCCCATCCATCTATCTCATCCATTGCATTGATCTATCCATTCATTTTCATTAATCCCATACATTTATCTCATCATTCCCATCTTATCTATCCTTCCTATTCTCCTGATCCTTCCAATCTGTCATATACATCCATCCCATTGATCCCATTCATCTCATCCTTCTCATCTTATCCACCCCAAGCCATCCTGCCTCATCCATTCCAGTCCTTCTATCTCATCTACCCCATCTACACCACTTTACTTGTCCAATTTACCCATCTGATCTTACCCTCTTCATTGATCATTCCGCTTATCCAATCTCATTCATTCTAGAGCAGTTACTGTTAGAGCATTCTGAGCCCTCCATAGTTGGGAACAGGGGCAAGTGAGCTAATATCCCAGAAGTTCATGTCCCTCACACCTATTCCATCTCATCAATCCTATCCCATTCCATTCCTTCCATCCTTCCCATCTAGCCATTTATCCCATCCAATCCATCCTAATCCACCTATCCCATCTCAGCCATCCAGTCCATCTACTCCATCCATCCCATCTTACATATGACATCCATCCACCCCCATCCCACCTCATCCATTCCATTGATCTAGCTCATCTCATCCATCCTATCGCATGTCATCTCATCCACTCTACCCATTCCACTCCATGTATCCTCCTCATCCATCCATCCCATTCTGCCCATCCTATTTTTCACATCCCGACTTTCACATTCCATCTACCCATTCATTTATCTGTCCATCCCACCCCATCCTATCTGACTACTTGGACAATTTTAGTGCATGTGATGACCTGATACAAGTTTTACCAGTGGAGTGAGCTGAGCTGACACTGCTTAGCTCTGTTTCACCCAGTGGGCTTAGAGTAGTGATCAAAAACTGCAACCCAGTAGTGGCACAAAGAGTTAGAAAACATTGATCTGGGATTAAAAACTGTTATATTTCTATTTTTTAAAGATTATCCAGAAAAATGGTCATGTTTATTTGTAGCTCTTGGTCCTTCTTCTTCTCAGCCCTCCAGCAAGAATTCACAGGCTGTGACTTGTACATCTCCTGTTCCCTCCAGCCATCTTTCTGAAAGACAGTTTCCTCAACTGAACAGTTTTATAGACCTTTCCAAATTTAGTAGCTGCTTTTTGCTTTGTTGGCCACTTTCGTGTATAGCTTTAAGCAGTTTTCACTGTAGGGATCTGTGTAACTGCATCCTGTGCCTAGACACTAATTCCCAAGCCTCCTTTGAGGTCTCCTCATTGATGTGGCCTCTTTGTCTCCTTGCTTATATGTGGACTACCTTTCTGGGCCCTGGGATGCCATGAGGTCTGTCCTAGGACTCTGTTGATCTGGGACTTGTCCCAGGACAACTTCCCTTCACATTCTCTGCTCAGCTTGCCCACGCTCCTGAGTGTACAATGTTTGCTGGCCCAGTTTGGGCACTTCTGTGTCATCCTGGCTATTTGGTCTTCTGCTGTCCTCCACTGAACAAGACTGCTTCCTAGCAATGCCAACCAGTCACTTCCTTTTGGGAGATTATTTCTAGGGATTAAGACCACACATTTAAAAAACCATTGCTCAGAGCTTACATTATTCTTCAGAAAAAGGTAAGAAGTTATGTTTTATAACTGGCTATTTATAACTGTTTGGCTGTATTTTCAAGTATACATAATTATTTTAGAATTAGGGGACAAATTTGCTTTTGCATAGCTGAGGTGAGTCATTTTGGCTATATAATATTCTCATAAAGTTGCTTTAAAGGTAAAACAAGAGTTTCTTAATAGAAACTAACACTTTTCCTAAAGGAAAGGTAAGATGTGCAATCCACTTGCTCCTTCGGTACCATATTGTAAAATATGACTTACTAACTTTATTTTCACTTTCAACTTTTTATAAGGTAGGATGTTTAGCTGTAGTGGAAGACAGCAAGAGGATTGGTTCACTGATATTTTTCTTATAGATATAAAGTGAAGAACAGTTACAAGCTCATTCACCGCGTCTCTCTGTCAAACGCAGCTGATGTGACCAGTTTGTCAGCAGTGAACGACTTCTACTCCTGTATCCTTGCTCCCTGGTCCTTCCATTGTGTCCCATGCTGAGGGTTCTCCTTCTGGCACAGTGTCACTTAGTGTCAGATCAGCCTCAAACTGTACTGGGTGCTGGGGACACAGAGCCCGTGGTCCTCTGCAGCAGCTGAGCATGTGTAAGAAGGGAAGACAGACCATTACCATGTCTGACCTACCACCCATGGTGAGCTGATCAGACATTTCTGTGTTTTTCCAAAAATACAGAGTAATTTAGTATAGTTTCTTAATAAACTGCTAATACTCAACTTTGGATACTTGAACAGTTAATCCATCTCATGGAAGACTGAAAAGGATGATAACATTTGCTATTCGTCAGAATAGGAAACTGAGTCTAGAAGTTGAAAGTTTTCATTTGTATGCCTAACATAATCACTTTCAGTTTTAAAAATGATTTAGTTTGTTTAGATGCAAAGCTCTTAATTTTAGGAATTCATTTCATAAAATTTTAATTTGTTCAAACATAGGTCTACATTGACTTCTACTGCAGAGTTATAGTTGAAATTTTTTTTTTTTTTTTTTTTTTTACTTTTTCCTTTTTATCGGTACCGGGGATCGAACTCACGACTGCCTGCTTGTAAGGCAGGCGCTTATGCCACTGAGCTAAATCCCCAGCCCCATAGTTGAAATTTTGAAGGACAAAAATAAAATTGTAATGTGCTGTACATTTTAATTAGGAATGTGGAACTTTTGCTTTGGAATCATTTGAAAAGAAAAATCCACTGGACGGAAATGTTATCGTTCTGCATATTCAAACCTGAGATGCTGTCTCTGCATGTTCTAGGGTTGGCACTGTGCTTACTATTGGATCTGGAACTCTGTGCTCCTGCATGTGTTCTGCTGTGCTATACAGGGCTGAATACTGGCTGCTGGCTACTTTGGGTGGTCACATGTGCCGCGAGTCTTGTACATCAGACTTACAAAGTCCATTATTATTTCCTGAAGATATGCCACTCTACGTCACTTGATTCAGCCTGCTCTGAGATAGATCGTTCCCTCGGTGGCTTTGTTAATCTCCTTTTTACCTCAGGAAACCTATGTTTTCAGCAGCTAGTTGGTATCTTGACTTGTATGTCTGCAGGTGCATCTCACTGTGACGTCCACATAGGTTGTTCTGCACTGGGATCCCCAGCTTTCACTCACGGGATCCCCCAGTTTCCACTCGCTGCTACCTGCTCTTGTCAGACACATGGGAGCCAGGTGGCGGAGCCAGGCTGGGACTGCACTGTTTCTGTGTAAATTCTTCACTCGTCTTTCATTTCTGAGTCTTGTAATGTCCCAAGGCTTGTTAGTGTAATAAATGAAGCTGTCTGGTCTGTTTCTCATGGGGATGATTATGGGGATGAGTTCCCTAACGACTGTGGCAGATATTGTTCTCACAGCTGGCCGGGACCGGACTCTGGAAGTTTTTGACCTCAATGCTGGCTGTAGTGCTGCGGTGATAGCAGAAGCCCACTCCCGGCCTGTCCATCAAATTTGTCAAAACACAGTAAGTTTTGGGCAGTATGGATCATTTGTAAAATTACGAGTTTAAAGTGTTTAATACACTGACCACAACCTTTTTGGCACAGGGATCTGTAGGGGTGGAAGACAGTTTTTCCACAGACAGGGCTAAGGTTGGTTGGAGACAGAAGCTTGGGATTATTCCAAGGAACAGGCAACCTACATCCCTCACATGTGAGGTCCACAGCAGGATTTGCACTCCTATGAGAACCTAGTGCCGCTGCTGGTCTGACAGGAGATAATGTGACCAATGTGGATAAGGGGGGTGGCTGTAAATACAGATGAAGCCTCCGAGCTAGATTGCCCCCCTCCTCCGTCTGTGCAGGACAGTTCCTGACAGGCCTGGGCAGGTTCCAGGCTGTAGCCTAGAGCTTGGGGACTCCTGGTTTCGCAGATACAAATGTATTCCAACACAATCTATAACAGTTATGAAAAACAGTATTTTTATCAATTGTTAAACTAACCTATATCTTGCTGTCTGACTTGAAGGTATTTTTTTAAATTTTATTTTAAAGAGGGTAAAATTGAATATAACAAAACAGGCCAGAAGAAAATAATGTAAGAGACACAGATTTCAAAGCAAGACAACAGGAGATCTTCCCTGTCTTTCATATTGTCTCTTCTTTTCTTCTAAATAGTTGTCTGTATCTTCACACACAGTGTATTCATACAAAACGAAATAGTCTTAAACTGATCAGAACAGGATGATGAAGGCCTTTTAGGTCTTCAAGACCCGACAATAGGGAAGTCAACAATGGCTGCCATAGTGTCTCTCATTCTCTTCAAAATAGTTGTCCACACCTTCACATATGTTGAAATTAAACAAAATAAAACAGATTAAAATCACTCTGAACAAAGCATAGCAGTGTTGCTGGATTTCACAGCATGATGCTATGGAATCCGTACTGGGTACCTTAGTGTCTCTTTTCCTGCAAAGTAGCTGTTCATCATGCATTATATAATTGAGTCTCATAAACTGTTTAGGAGAAGTTCTACACATGTGTGAATCTCTATATGTATATCTATTCTTTCTGTATTAGAGGGAAAAACAAAACAAAATAAATTCCTAGGGAAACATGAAACAAAAAAGACAAATAAATAATAGTAGCAAAGAGTCCAGAACACTGACAATATAGGCTTTCAAAACAAGGTGGTAGGAGCATAACTAGGGTGATGATGATCTTTAAGAGTTCCTCAGATCACCATACAATAATATGCACAATTGTTCAATCCTATGAATGTTAATATTTTGTTCCAAGAACTTATAGAATTTGTAGCAAAATCATCTTAGCTATCATGTGTGTTTATATAATTTTAGATATTTTTTCTTTTCCCTTTCTTTTTCTTTTTCCTCATTTTGCCTGAGCTATTTATTGAGTTTTTTGTATGACATGTACTCTTACCATTTCTTAACACTAGAGAGACTATACGGTATTTACACATGTGAATTTATTTCACCTATGCCTATGGTCTTGAGTTGCATCCATTTATTTATAATATCTCAATGTGATCATTCTTTATAGCTGAGTAGTACTCCATTGTATAAAAATACCAAATCTTTTTTATCCACTCCTCAGTTGATGGACACTTATGCTGTTTCCAAGATCTGGCTATTACAAATTGTACTGTTATAAACATGGGTGCACATATATCACTGTGGTATGATGTTTTCAGTTCTTTTGGGAATATGTCCAGAAGTGGAATAGCTTGGTCAAATGGGACTTCCGATTCCAGCTTTTTGGGATATCTCCAGACTGACCTCCACAATGGTTGCACTAGTCTATACTGCCACCAACAGTGCAGAATTCCTTTTTCCCTGCAGCCTCTTCAGCATTTGTTGTTGGTAGTTTTCTTGATCCTGGTATTCTTTCCCATGTGAGATGGAATCTCAGTGTTGTTTTAATTTGCATTTCTCTATGACCAATGATACTGAACATTTTTTTTCATGTATTTATTTGCTATTTGTAGTTCTTCATCTGACAACTGTGTATTCATCTCAGATGCCCATTTTTGGAATGGGTCTTTGAATTTTGGGGATCTGATTTTTTAATTCTTTATATGTTCTAGACAGAAGTCTGTTGTCTGGAGGACAGTTCACTAAGTTTTTTTTCCCAATTTGTGGGTTTTATTTTCACTATGCTGGACATTGCTTTCAACATGCAAAAGCACTTTAATAGGATGTGATCACAGCTGTTGATTCTGGGAAATATTTTTCATGTGGTTTGATTCTTGTTCATGAATTCTCTACCTATCCCTGTGTCTTCAAAGGTTTCTACCTACTTTGTCTTCTAATAGATTTAGTGTTTCTGTTTTAATATTCAGATCTTTGACCCATTTAGACTTTAGTTTAGTACATGGTGATAGGCATGGTTCTAGTTTTAGTTTTTGGCATATGGAGAGCCAATTTTTCCAGCACCATTTATTAAAGAGACTATCTTTCTTCCAGTGGACATGTTTTGCCCCTTCATCACAGATAAGGTGGCTGAGTGTGCTTGTAGTTGTAGTTGTATCTTCTAATCTATTCCATTGATCTTTAGGTCTGTTTTTATTCTATTATCATGCTGATTTTATTATAATAGCTTAGTATAATTTCAAGCAGAGATTGTGATGCCTCCTGCCTTACCTTTGCTACTTAGAACTGCCTTTGTTATTCTAGGTCTGTAAGGTATTTTAGTATCATATTGCACATATGTTTTTGTGTTTTGTCTTTGATTATCACGTAGGCTCACTTTGAATCTTTTCTAGTGAAGCCTTCCCCTCACCTTGGGGGCCATGGCAGAGGAAAGACAGTTACATGGGGCTGGCATGCGGACCACCCATGACCTAGCAGCTTCTCTTACTTGGGGAGGATATCTTCACAGAGATATGGTTTGAAGACATCCTTGGTATGTGATATAAAGTATGGGATTGTGAGGGTCTCATGGCCATTAAGGGCCAGAGGGACTTTGTTATCTAAATGAGCATCTAAGATGTGCAAACAAAACTTTAAAAAAAATTTTTTTTTTAAATTTTTTGGATTAAAGCTATGACTTGTGACACGGTTGGGAAGGTTTTCCAGGTTAAGTGTTTAATTTAAAAAGTCTTTTGAAATCTGCTTTAGGATGCAGGGCATCATTTTGTGTGCTGAGGGAAGTCATATATGGGTGAAGAAACTTTGTCTACAGTTTTCTAGGTTCTCTTTAGATTTTGGCTGAACAAACAGGTAGATCTGACAACCTGTGGAGTTCTGTGGTGAATTCTAATGACACTGAGCAGATTTTTTTGTGTTGAGCTATCTTGTGGACTCTGTTGCTGTGTTCTGTGTTGGAATGGAAGTGCTAGAAAGTCTTTACGGAGGATGCAGTGGGAGATGCCATCGGGGATTAGAGGCTCTACGTCTAGGATGGTGGTCCCTGCCTGGTTGCATTGGGCACTGTGCAGACGACAGGTCCAGGGACTTTACAATGGACAATGGGCAGAGTATTGGCCAGGGGGGACCTGAGGGAAATGCTTTGCTTCCTGGTCACTTCTTGGGCATTCCTATTCTCTGCAGGAAAGGACGTTTACAGGTGTTTACAGGCTTATTACCTTGGCTGCACTGTTTAACCTTATTCACTCAGCAGTTTATTATCAGGATGTTTAGTTTTACTGGTTTGTAGAACACCATGGAAGACGATAGCTTGAAGAATGTTGTTACAGACAATATTATTATATTTCTGTGTCTTTCTTTGTATAGGATCTTATTTCATACAAACAGAATAAGCACAATTTTGAACACTGTGTAGTGGTCCCCCAGATGAATGAGGAATGCCTTTGAAGAATTTTGTAATTTCTTTATGAGTCTAAAATAGCAAACGTAAAACCAAAGTGCATGGTAGTGACGTTAGTGCAGTTACAATGAAGAAATGTGACCAGGATGAGTCATTATGGCGATTTGCCATGGTAAGGACAGGCTCTTGGCTTGGGGACCATGATCATGTGTAGGTGTTTCACAGTGCAGCCTATCAGGAGCTAGTTGAGTTTATGATTGATTGTACACTATGTGTTTCTTGGCCTTTAGTGAGTTCCGTATTAAATTAACCTTTACAATGATTATTAATATAATACAACTTATATTTTAGATATTATGACCTTCAGTCAATTTATGTGCAGCTCAATGAGATATGAATAGTTAATATTTGGATGCAGAAATGTTAAAGTGTTAGTCTGATTTGTTAAATTGTTTAGTGAAACTTTGGGTACGAGCATTCATCTTTATAACGCATGATTATAGATTAAGACTTCAGCTGTCTTAGTGTCTGGTGAGCACAGAGGTGTGCTCATGAACACTTACTGATTTGAACTATGCCTAAGGCTGGCACCTTTCCAAGGAGATCTAAGTGGGTTCGGGGTCTGGGTGTAGCTTAGGGGCCAAGCACACATTCAGTATGTTCACTGCCTGTGTTAGGTCTCAGCACCAAAACCCTCAAAAGCTGGGCATGTAGAGAGCAGATAGTTTCTTGGGAGAATGAGCAGTCAAAGTAGGATTTAAAAGTCTTAATGTGTTATTGTTAAAATTCAGTATATGGAAACTTGCCTAATGATACATATTGCTAATATTCAGATACCTCTCTGGGGACTTCAAGTAGATGCACATTTGAGTATGTCTGTTAGTCATTGTGAGTGAGTTAGTCTCAACTCATTATGGTTCAGAATTGAGTGAATTTTCAAAATACTGAAATAACTCATTCTGGAGTTAAAGTTTGTCAGTCTGAAGATAAAAGAATTTAATGTGTGATATCCTTTGATGTTTCAGAAGTTGCACCGATGTGTATTTCTTGCTGTACTTTTTGACACTTGCTGCTTCTTGTCTCCTAAGTACTGTGAATTGGAAAAAACCTCTTTTCATTACTTTTTGAATTTGTTATACATGACTTTAAGGTGGTCATTTTAAGGTCAGTTACAATTGTGTGTATGTTTCTGCATTTGGAAAATGGTCTGTCAGTATTTCCATTATAAATTCCCATT